CCTGCTGACGTGACTCTTATGCAACCTGTTGACTTTACTGAAAAGCAACAACAAACTCACCTGGCCAGAGTTTCCAGTATGTATGTTGCAATGATGCATTCTAAGTTTTTGAATAAAGAGCAGGTTTCTATTTCAGAACTCAATATGTACCAAATACAAAATTTATTTCATAGCAGTAATTACATTTTTTTCCTTTTTGACTTAAAAAACATAATACAGACAATGTATATTTAAACATTTACATATTTTCACTTACATGGTAAGAGAATAGCTTTTATTCTGAGGCTTAGTCTGTTGAATCTTATGTTACATATTTTCGAAAATTTTCTTAGTTTCCCCTTACAGTGGAGGTGTTCAGGTAGTTTAGATTATTTCCAAAATTATAATTCTAATTCACATCAACATAAAACACTTTCATAAGTTCAAAGGGTCTGATCCAGAGAGAACATTCACGCAGACATTCAAGGATTATGTTTAAAATGTTTCCCTCTACAATATAAAGTTTTGGTTTTACTTTTTAAATTTTTTTAAACTGCTAAAAACTGGATAATAAGCCTCAGAGCAGGTAGTGTAAAGATACTAATGTTGTTAAATATTTTAATCAGTTTATCTAGTCATGAAATTAGCCCAAGAAATGAGTTCTCATAACCAGCAATATCACCTGTAGCTTACATCTGTTTGCACTTCAGAATATTTTTGTGAAAATCAGAAGCCTGATGGAGACTGTCACAGATAGTTGACTTTATTCAAGCCTTTTATATATGAAACGATAAAATCTGGGCATTAGTCTACAATCTGAGTTTTTATAATAATTATTTTAATAATTCATGCCTCTATTGTAGACAGTTTTCTATAACAGTTATATACTTGAGAATTTTTAATGTTGCATTCCCTATTAAGCAATAGTTTTTAGTAGTTAATACTACAGTATACTCTGTGCTAGCATTTTTCTGGGCAGTGTTAGCCTGTTAGACTGAGTATTTATAAAAGTTCACATTTAAAAATAAACCTAAAAGCTGAACCTAAAACCCTTTCAGAATAGACTTAATACCACTTCAGCAGTTACTGGCTCGTTAAAATATCGTAAAGGTAGAAACAACTTGTACATCATAAAGTGTATATAATTCTTGGCAAGGTGAACATTTGGAAATATATACATTCATTAGGTGAATTAAATGACCTTACTATGCTGCTCCAGCCCATTTTACCTTTAACTCTGATTAGAACACACATGCATAATGAGGACTTTGACCTATTAATCAGAAGACAGTCTGTTACCTTTCTGTGTGTGTTTTTTTTTTTTTTGATTTTTAATTGCTTCCTTCCAATTTTTGAGTTCCATGTAAATACTAAATTTCTTATTGATTCTGCCGGTGTGTTCCCTGCTTCCCTTTTCTTCTTGCGTGCTGTGCTGAGTAGAGCAGGAGTGCAGAGACCTTGTTCAGTAGACTACAAATGCACCGTAAAACCCCTGGATCTGGCAAGTGAGAAATTCTAATGTTGCATTTGGTTTTATGTCATTATCTCATAGCTATTTTGCTCCTTGCACAATTTGTGAAGGTGAAGGAAAGCTATGATGAAAGCCATAGCGAAAGCCATAGCTGATGTTTTTTTTTTGTAACTGCTAGAGTATGGTGGCTGGTTCCTGGTACCAGACACGTCCTTATTTACTGCAGATCTAACTTAGAGGCAATGTGAAGGTCACACAGTAAAGGTACTTGTAGATCACCGATTTAGGTGTGCCATCAAAGTGAGCCTCCGAGCTCCTGACAAGAAGATGAAGGATGCTGAAGCAGTGCCCGTAAACAGCCTCTGCACATGAGGTCTCTGTGCTTTGCAAGAAGGAACATAAAAATAGAAGTTCTAGCAAGGTTGATACAAGGAATATATAAGTAGCTACATTATAGCTAATACAAAAAAGCTGACTCCTGATTTGAGATGAACTATGAATTAGTATTCTGAGAATCTTTGGTTTTTTTTTTTTTGAGAAACTTCGTCAAAATTATACTAATATGAAGTAGAGATTAGAGCTCTCAAGTGACTCGTGCTCATGTGTTCAACTAAGGAGGACTTTGAAGTAAAACACAGTGTTGATATGAATTTTATTTAAAACTGAAAAATCTCCCTATTTCAAATAACTTACCCTTGAACAACAGATATTAGATTCTAGTCCTATAAAAGTAATGGAAGATTTTAATATTTCATGTGAAAAGTTGAGCTTCCAGTAGTTGGGTGATTATGAAAATATTAATGTTTTCCTCCTTTAGTATTACTAATAAGCTACACTGATATTGTAGAGCTGTTTAACAAGTCATACAAAGCACATGTCATTACAGAAGAAAGTTTGACGCTTTTTTCCTTTATCCTCTTTTCTTTTTTTGTTTAATTAATCTTAGCATACTGGTCAAAATAAGTGTATGAAAACCTTTTAAGGTTTATCTTAAGACTTTTGTGATTTTTTTTTCCCTGTTTAAACAGACTTCTTATACATAAGGCACTGAAATATGTTTCTATGTAAACTGAAAATGTGAAACTATTTTGTTTTCTTTCTTTTGGGTGGTTTTAATCATCAAAAGTGTTATTTGTATTTTAGGCTGACTTCTGAGGGTAAGATGATTTCTTAGGTCATGTTATGTGCTCAGTTTTGTAGCTGACTATTTTATTTGTGTCGTGCCTGGTGACCTGCCTGTGCCGGGGTTACTGCCGTGCCCAAACGTGGAGCATGAGGAGGTGCCTGGTGGTTCTGCTCCTGCCTGTGGCATTGGGTAGTTTTGCTAATGCCACTGCTGCATGTGACCCTTCAAGTAGGGGGGTGTGTGTGAAGCTGTATGGCCCTTCAGCTGCAGAAGGGACGGTTATAAGCTTTGGGCTGCTTTGGGGTTGAAAATACCTGGTTTTGATTGGAGATCTCTTATAGACATTCTTTTAATGACCTGGGAGAAACTAGAGAGCTGGTTCTGTACGTGTAAAAGGGGAGCCACACTGTCATTTTGTACAAGTCATTGGAACAGGAACTGTCTCTTTTGTACATTGTCTTTTTAGAATGCTTTGAGTTCCCTCTGTAAACTTCTGTGATAAAATAGTAATTTTTTTGTGGATGTGACAATAATCTGGTTGGTTTACAGTGAATATGCTGTAACCAGCTTTGCTTTGGACACTCTTGAGTATGTTGATCTGGTATATTCAGTAATAATAATGGCAGCTTCTGTCTCAGGGTGCTCTGTAGTCAGTAGTAGCAACATTCTTGCTTTGGAGCGTAGCGCTTGCCAGCCTTATGAAAAGGTAGAATTAAATCAAAATCCAAAATGGATTTTCAACACAGGTTTTGTGTTTTGTTGTTGTCCCACAAACATGCAGCACTATCTCCTTCTACCTGTCCTACAATTTCCATTTGATTTCAGCTCCTCTCTCATTCCTTCAACCCAAACTTCTGTTTCATCCTTTCCCTCCTTTGGCTTCTGGACTTGTTAGTATTGTGTCTCTTTCATTCCCAGATGACCCCATTTTATAATTTCAAACTCTTAAATGAAAAGAGAAATAAATTTCTAGCTATGAAAAGCCTACATTTGTCTAATGACTTGATTATTGTTAATTTTAACAATGAATCTTCTCATGCTGTATACTGAAATGTTTTCTAGATGTAAA